GGCACGCCACTAAATACTTCAATCCATTCAGAAACAAATTCACCAAGAACTATTCTTTGTCTCCTATTACTTAGAAAAGCTTCCATCCATTTTAGAGCTAAGCCATTAATACCATATGCATTCAATTTAGCAAAGAGTCTCTTGTGAGGAACACTATCAAAAGCTTTATCAAAGTCTAGTATTACTACATTAACAGGTAAACCATTGCTGTTGCACGAGGAAATAAAGTCAAGAGTTTCTAGCAAATTTGTGGTACAAGATTTGCTTTTTACAAAACCATGCTGTTGGATTGTTAATAAATTGTTTTTGTAAAGATGTTTTTCAATTGTTTATCTTAGAATAGATTCTAATATTTTACAAGGAATAGAAGTAAATGAAATAGGGCGATAATTGCTGGCCACTGTTTTGTTACCTTTTTTATGTATCGGTGTTACATTTGCTGACTTGAATTGTATTGGTAGTTGACTGGTTTTAAGCAAAAAAAGAGTTAGGGGTAAAGTAAACGATATAGCACAATTCTTGAGGACTATTGAACAAAGTTTATCAGGTCCAGGTGATTTTTTGTCTTTTAGTGAGTTAAGTTTAGATAAAACTAACTCAAAGCTAATATCATCTGGTTCAATATCTTCAAATTTATATACATCATTTAATTCAATATGAAACAGTGGAAGGTCTCCTTTTTCTTCAATAGTCAAGGCATCCTGAAAATGTTTACTTTAGACAGTTCACTATTTTATTTGGTTCATGAGATAAATCACCATTAGGCATTCTTATGGTCTTTATTGGATCTTTTATTGAATTTGTACTGTTTAAATACTTGTATAAAAATTTAGGATTAAGTTTAGACCTTAACACTAGATTTTTTTCAAATAAAACTCGAGCATTGTAAATTTCTGTATTTAATAATTTGCATAGGTACTTATATTCTTTAATCAGGTTAATATCATTCGATCAGTGAAAAGAATTTATGTATCTTAAATTTCTTTTTCTTATTATTAATTGCTTGGTTTCATTATTAATCCAAGCAGTTGTTGAGCTTTTGATTTGTGAAATGTCTATGGTTGGAACAAACAAATTGCATGCTTCAGTGGTATAGTAAATTAATTTGTCGTACATGTCTTGCACTGTCTTGTTTTCGTACAACTTCACCCACTCGATATTGGACATAAAATGAGAAATTTTATCAAATTTAGCTTTGCTATACAAAAATTTAAAGTTACTACAGGCTAATCTTTTAACATTAATTTTTAGGAAAAATTTAAAGTAAATAATTAGATGACCTTTGTTTATGTCACCAAGCACAAAACCTGGGTCGACAGCACATACACTACCAGACTCTATTGTGAATATTAAATTTAAAACAATCGAGGGGGAGCCATTAATCAATTGAAAAATTGGTATGTTTGTATGTTAATAGAGAAAAGTATCCCTTAAAGTCTTATAGAATTTATGTTCTATGCCACTTTTAAACAGCCAACCAGGTATTTATCTTGGACAAAATAAACTACTGCCCAAACTTGTTCAATTTTGCTAATACTAAAATCAGTGTCGACCAGCTTATACGAGTCAATTGAATTTTTTATATATAAGCAGACACCGCCGCCTCTACGATCATTAATTCTATCACATCTGTATATATTGTAACCACGAATGTTTACAATTGAAGTTTTTTGAACCATGTTTCGCCTACTTCAACTATTTTTGGACAATGCAAACTAGTTACAACATTTAATTCATCTAATTTATTTTCTAGTGAGGTAGCATTCAGGTAAATATAATTAAGTTCTGTTATGCTTTCAGGTAATAAAGGTGCTTTAAGTTGAATTTTTATTTTTCTTGAACTTTTGCAATTGGTTACCACGGATGCTATATCGAAATGGAGAGTTTGTATCAAGATTTGCATTAAGCATGTTTCTTTCTTGTCTTAGCTGGAGATCAAGTTGTCTTTCGGCTTCAGTAAGATCTGGACTTATATAAATCTGTTTATGATCCATGCTGTTTCATAACTTCTTTGCTGCTAAAAGGACTGGATTTCTAATGGATGGTTCATCCAGCTCCACTAATATTGGACGAGGTTTTGTTTTGTCTTTTGATCTAAGTATTCTGGTATAAACTGGTTTAACTTCGACTTTGCCAATAAAATCAAAAACATCTGTTATCTTTTTTCAGATTCATTTCTCTTAATTAACAGATCCGTCTGAGTGATTCTGGAATTCCAAAAACAATTAGATTTCTTTTTCTCTTTCCTCTATCGTGCAGCTTTTTTATGGTTGCCTTAGCAACGACTAGTTGTTCAGGTGGCTTTTCACCACTTTTGCTTCCTTTTGTAATAATTTGCACCCATTCGTTTCCAATATTGGCTGAATTTACATTTTGCTTTGATTTACTTAAGTTATCTTTCAGGCTGTCAATGATTTTCAAATTATTTTGTCCTTTATCCTCAAGATCTTTTACTTTCTTTGATATTTCTAAGACATACTTTGAAATTTTACCGCACCAT